CTTTCCCTTCCCTGCTCTCATAAAGGGGGGCAGGGGGAGAAGAAATACACATTTGAAAGGTTTTTTAAAAAATCTTACTGAATAGATTTCATATATTCCTTTCCGTCCTTCATCACATTCACGGCGAACCCAATGTCTATTGAGGTAGGCACAAATTCCATTCAGCACTTTGCTTGAAAATCGGTAATCTTCCCATTGCTGAGTGTAGAATTTCAGGACACTCTCATCCATCAAGTCCTCTCCATCCTAAAAACAAGGCAACTGAAACTTTAAGATGACTAATTTGTCACATAATACATAGAGATTAATGTTACTGGAAACAAATCTACTGCACTAAAATACATCAATGCATCTGATTTTAGACAGGTTCTTCAAGCTATTCTGTATGTGAAAATATAATACTATAAATTCTCATAAGAATACAGTAAAAGTTCTTTTATCTCAAATTAAACTGTAACCCCGACTGTTTGTTTATTTATTTTTAAAGAATTTTATTTAGCTTTGTTTATTTATTGTAATTTGATCAGAGAGGGACAGAGAGAGAAAGAAAGTGAGAAAGCAATCTGCCAGGATGAACAGCAGGTGGCGTGGTGGTTAAGGTACTGGACACTCCCACATGGCTGAGCAAGGATCAAGTCCCGGACCTGGTGGTTTGCTTTCTCACTCCCCTCTACCCTGTTCAAATTGAAATAAATTAATAAATAAATAAAATTAAATAAATAATTCTTTTCGGGGGCGGGGGGGTGCAATCTGCCAGGTCTGGGACTCGAAATGCAGTTGGCCATGTGGGAATTCAGCGTCCTTAACCACCTGCTGGCCCCAACTCTGAGTGTTTAAAATGAGAATAATTTCTTTTCATTATTAAGTAATTCAACCTCAAAATCACTTTTGTTTTTGTATTTTTCCTATTAAAACATGCGTAGGTCCTAGTAACAATTTAAATTATGGGACCAATACTACATAATACATAGAGATTAATGTTACTGGAAACAAATATTAAATTCATTTCCTTTTTAAAATTTATTTACAAGTTATCAAAATATTCAACTTTTTGTGACAATCTGTTGCATTTTATAAAAAGAAAACAAATACAATGGTACGATGCTATTTCTTGTTAACAAGAGCTCAAGAAGAATACGGGCTTTTGCCAAAATTATTTTTACAAATGGAACCACAAATCTTTGAGGAAACTAACTTGAAATGTTTCCTTAGGTATTAATGGCACTAGGAAGTCAGTCTCATCTTTGGAAACTGAGCTTTTTCCTGTACTGACCCTTCACATGCCATAGCACAGAGACACTGAAGGGGGGCCTAAGAGCAGGGCCTCCTCCATGCAGTGGTGCCTGGGGCAAGCCTGAAACTGCTTAGCTTCAGGGTCTTCAAGTGGAAAATAAAAGGTCTTGACAGATGAGAAGCTCTGTAAATATATGGTATCTGTGCCATCCAACAAGCCACATAAAAACCCAATTATATCTTGACGCAACCAAATTTTTGCTTATTTAAATAACTGAAAACAAACCTTGAGGTGCAGAGCTAAACCATTCTGGATTATGGCATATGATTTTTTTTTTTTAAGAGAGATTTTTGCTATAGAGTGTGTGCACTCTCCAGAGAAACAGAGACAGAGACAGAAAGTGAGGAATCACCCCCCCCCCCGGGGGGATGGCAATGGCGCACTCCCTTCTCCTCCCCATTCTCCTCTTGGGATTTGGGGCACGCATGAACACACACCTGGTGTGAGTTTTTACCTTCAGGTCTGGGACTCAAACCGTGGTCAACTATGTGGGAGACTAGCAACGCAATCATTATGCCATCTGTTGGTACTGGCATGTGACTTTTTAAAATATACAAACTCCACCAATGACACGGCCATCGATATTTTATACGTAACACAGCCTACTGCTCCTCATGCAAGTGCCACAGGATAATTACAGCGCTCACTTTACAAAGTGCTGGGAGTAAAACAAGGACAAAGTGACAAGCAAGACTGAAACCTTCATCACAGTCTGTGGTCAATCGACGACAGTCTTTTAGAACGATGTTTAAGTTCCCAATTAGTTATAAAATAAGAGAAACATGGGACTGGCAGACGGCATGGTGGTTAAGGGTGCTGGACTCCCATGTGGTTGACCGTGGTTCGAGTCCCAGACATGGCAGCTTGCTTTCTCACTTTCCCTCTCTCTCTCTCTCTGTGTCCCTCTCTGGTCAAGTTAAAATAAGTAAGTAAGTAAATAAATTAAAAAAATCATTCTTTAAAAAATGAAAAAAAAAAAAACAACAAAAAAACAAGTTTGCAGCAGGTGGAAGTTTCTGCATATTATCTATGTAATTCAAAAACCTCTTAAGTACCTACATGGAAGACTCCCCACCAACTCGCTAGCTTCCCAGGAAGAAGTACAGGTGTCTTCTCTCATTCTACGTAACACAGGCAGGGCCTGGAGGAGCCCCATGCCAACCTGTGGAATGGGAGCAGCACACTGCCTTTGCTACCGGGGATTAGGACCCCGGAGAAACAGGTGGAGGTGAGAGGGCAAGGCCTCCACCAGTGCCAAGCAAAGGCCGGGGTGGGAGAACACAGCCAAAGGGAGAGGGTGCTCATTGAGAAACGCACCCTCGTCCAGGACGCAGCTTTGGAGCATGCGTGAGACTTCACGGCCATGTGTGAAAACACGACTGCACTGAAAACTGTGATCGCCAAGGCTAACGAGCTTTACAACTGTTTACACGTTTTGATCGAGAATACCGTATTAGGTTTGATACAAAATATAGGTAAGTTAAATACTTAATTACTTGTTTTATATGAAAAGGTTCATCAAATGGTTAATAATTTAAGGAAAGTACTATTACAGAGAAAGTTTATCAAAAACTTCTAATTTACCTAACCAAAAACCAGAACGTGGCTTATGAAGATGTCATCGTCGCGACAGGTAAAACTCAGCAGTACCAACACATCTTCACGCATGTGTTAATGCCTGACTCAGTGAGTGACTGGCAGCGAGAGATTTAACTTCCCTTTTCTTTACATTCAATTATAAATGTTCAGTATATATGTAAAACATCTTACCTTAAGAAGATTTGTCAAGTAATTCTTCAAAAACTCCTTAAGTCGTTTGTATAACTCCAGGCCCACGAACTGGGCTCCTCCGGGCGTCTGCCCCTTTTTCGACTTGGAAGGAGGGACCCCGGCTCCTCGTGCTTGGTTTGACTGGTGTACGCTGGTACAGTAGTTATAGACGTGACTTGGGGAACAGTTAAGGGAACCAACGTGCATCACAGATGGTAACAGTGGTTACTACTGAACATATTTAAGTAAAAAGAACCTGAAACTAACAGAGAGTTACTATCTTTAATAAATTAAGGTAATTTTTTTAAAGAGATATTTTTGCTATAGGGTGTGTGTACTCGCCAGAGAGACAGAAAGTGAGGTCACCCTCAGGGGGGAGGGCCACTCTGCAAACCCTTCTCCTCCACTCTCCTCTCAGGATCTTGGGCACGCACGCACACACGCCCACTGTTTTAAGCCACTGGGTCTGGGACTTGAACCGTGGTCACCTACGTGAAAGTCCAGTGACGAACCCATTTACCCATTACTGCCATCACTAGTTCCAAATTAAGGTGATTTAAAACACAATAAAACCCAAATCCCTATAGAAACATGGGCAAAGTATACCAACAGAGAATCAAAAGGTAAAGAAATATATGTATTTCAAAACCTAAAACCTGATAAAACATTCAACCTCTGTAGTAATCAAAGAACTATGTCTCAGAACAATCATTTTATTAAATGCTTCAAGTGTACAGGGACCCGAGATGACAATGAACAAGTACCTTGCACTCCTGACCCAGCTTTGACAAACTTATCCCCATCTTGCCTCTTAGACCACGTACCCCCCACCCCCACTTTCCAGGAAATAAAATGTGACCAATTGTAACTGAAAGACTATGTTTTCCTCCATAACCCAGCTCCTCCTTCCTCTTAATCCTAGGAGCAAACACCCCCATAGTTTGGTGTGTATCATTTCTATGGATGTTTGTATATTTTACTGGATAACTATATATGAAATGCATTGGGTGTTCTACATTTTTAGATTACATGAATGTAATACAGGCATTTGCATCTACCACTTGTTATGCTTTTGTTGCTTGTTAAAGAATTATTTTATTGGACTTTCTTTCCTTCCTTCCTTCCTTCCTTCCTTCCTTCCTTCCTTCCTTCCTTCCTTCCTTTCCTTCCTTCCTTCCTTCCTTCCTTCCTTCCTTCCTTCCTTCCTTCCTTCTTTTCTTTCTTTAACTTAAATCTGACCAGAGAGGGACAGAAAGCAAACTGCCAGGTCCAAGACTAGAACCACGGTGAGCCATGTAGGAGTCCAGTGCCCTTAACCACCACACCACCTGCCGGCCCCCTTGTTGTTTTTAAGTTGGTTCATTTGTTCCATGAATCAGGGAGATGAAGACAAATAGCACCTCACTTTCTTTCCCTCTCTGTCTGATCAAAAGACAGCACCTCCAATAGAATCTTACAGCCATCTACACCAACCTTCGGGTGGCCCAGACCCCGGGCAGGCACTGCCTGTGTACTCAGGGAGATGGCCAGACTGGGGCAGGAGCTTTTCTATGTAGGAACGCCTCACTAAGCATCCCGTGACTGTGTCTGGCCCCTGTCATTTGGTTTGGGTCACATTTACGATAGCTACAACTGTATGTAATGTACAGAGTGTACTGAGAATAGTTTCTCCGTTCTCCTGAAGATGGCCCTTGTGAGTGATTATTTGAGCAGTACCAATTTTTAGTACTTACAAACAACACTGCAAAGAACCCACCTAGTGGGGCCCTTGCATACGTGCACGAGTTTTACACAGAGCACAGTTACCGGGCGACAATGCAGTCTGCCAGAGCTGCTCTCCAAAGCAGCTGCACAGGTCCTTGCAGTGCTTGAGTTTCGCAGCCTGCAACCTTGCCTGCGCGCGAGCACTGTGCCTGACTGTGGTTTTAGTATGCATTTCTCCGGTAGGAGCAGGACAAACCACCTTGGAAGTTTATCATTTTTTTCTCCTTTGTACTGTGTCTAGTCAAACCCTTCATGTTTCAAAAAAAGAAAAACAAGTTGGTGTAGGCATTAATAATGGGAGTATAAAATGGTACAACTGTTTTGGGGAATAGTATGGCAGCTTCTTATGCAAATCATAGTATAGTCACAGAGTAGAATACTAATTATCAGCAATTAAAAGATAATGGGGCTGGCAGGTGGCATGGTAGTTAAGGGTGCTGGACTCCCACAGGGCTGACTGAGGTTCGAGTCCAGGACCCGATGGCTTGCTTTCTCACTTTCTTTCCCTCTCTGTCTGATCAAACTGGAAAACAATAATAGTAGTAATAATAGTAATAATAATAATAAGTTAAATAAAATAATTCTTAAAAAAAAGTAACTAATAGAGCTTGCAGGTGGCATGGAGGTTAAGGTGGCTGGGTCCCACACAGCTGGCTGCACGTGTCTGGGCCCGGCAGCTTGAAAATTTGCCGGAGCACATGTGTAAGGCCTCAAATCCCAGGAGGAGGAGGAAGGAGAAGGGACTATGGTATGGCTATCCCCCCAGGATGGATGATTTCTCACTTTCTCACTCTCTCTCCCCTCCCTGTAAGCACATGCACCCTACAGCAAATGGAAGAAAAAAAAGAATACACATGATTCTCAAAACATGCACAATGAAAAGTTCAGACATATGTAATTCCACTAAAGTTGAGTTCTAGAACCGGCAAACTAATCTATGGTCACAGAAATCAGAAAAATGGTTTCTTCTGTTGCTTCGACATGCGAAGACTGAACAAAGGGAACTTAGGGGACTTTCCATATCTTGGTCAGGTTTTTGCTTACAGTTTACATATCTGTCAAAAAAATTCAAATCATACACCTAAGATGTATACATTTTGTAGTAGGTAATTTTTGCCTCTTAAAAAAACCCTATAGTTTTGGAACCAGCAGTTAGCATAATGGCTATGTTGCTGAACTCCCATGTGGCCGGCCGCAGTTCGAGTCCCGGACCTGGTGGCTTACACTCATGCCAGGCATGTGTATGCGTGCCCAAGATCCCTAGAGGAGAATGGAGGAGAAGGGATTGCAGTGTGGCCATCTCTCCAGGGGGTGATTTCTTGCTTTCTGTCTTTCTGGTGAGTGCATGTGCCCTACAGCAAAACCTCTCAAAAAACAAACAAACAAACAAACAAACCCTTACATTTTTTAAAAAGGAGAGCATATAGTAAAGTGTTTCTGCCACACTGAAAAATAGAGCCTTTTTAGACTTGTAGCTTTTAATTTGTTGTGAAGAACCATCCTTTAGCAATCGTGTACATACAACGATCTTCTTGGGAGTATGATTCCCTTCCTAAGTGCCACTGGATGAAGATAACTCAATTTATCATCAAGTTTACCCAAGTTTTCTTGTATGGCTTGTGCTTTGCATCTTATTAAGGAAATTCACCCCTCCTCAAGACAATAATTTCACCGTGTTTTCTTTGAAAGCTGATTTTCTCATTGTAGACTTAGTGTGTATACACCACGAGGAGAGACACCTGATTCTTCTCTGCTCTCCACACCGCGGCACCGCTGCTCCTCCTGGAGTCTCTTTTATAACCATGTTTTCATGTGTATTCAGCCTTCACTTTTAAAAAAAATTCTCATTTGGGGCCAGCAAGTGGCATGGTAGTTAAGGTGCTGGACTCCCACATGGCCAGCTGCAGTTCGAGTCTTAGACCTGGAGGCTTGCCTGTTTTCTCACTTTCTCTCTCTCACATGTGCCCTATAGCAAAATTGTGAATAATAATAATAACATTAAAAATAAATAATTCTTTAAAGAAAAATTCCTGCTCTTTTCCCTTATTTATGATTTTGTGGTTACTTTGCAAATAATTTTACCAGAGGCTTGTTTATTAGTCTTTTTAAAGAACCAGCTGGGCTTTATTAATTTTTACTATTGTTATCTTTATTTCACACTGTTCTTTCTTTTATCTATATAAAACCTTGCTTTAGTTAATTAACTTTGTAATTTCTCCTTTTGTTCTTATTTTATTTTATTCATTTATTTATTTACTGTTTAGACTTTTGTTATAGATATGGAGAAAGAGCAAGTGAGAAATCACCCCCTGGGGGGGTGGCCACACCAAAATCCATTCTCCTCCAGTCTATTTTCTGGATTTAGACACACATGAACATGTGCTTGGTGTGTTTTCCAAACTGCCAGGTCCAGGACTTGAACTGTGGTATCAGCCATGTGAGATTCAGCACCTTAACCACCATGCCACCTGCAGCCCTTTTTGTTCTTTTTTAAATATAAGTATTTGAAATACTTACATAAAACATTTATACAAGGGATTCCAAAAAGTTTACGGGAAGAAGGAACGAAAGTGTGTTCATCGAGGTGCACAAACACTCTGAAAGCACGCCGTCGCTGCGCACTGCACACTGCTACGCTTTCCCGAAGACCCTCCTGCTGCGGAGTGCAGTCTCTCCTACGGACTGCTTTAGCTGCGGCACTCGGGTATGGAATTTATTTTCCTAATCGTTCAGTTATAGTTTCTTGCATTATTAGTTCTCTTGTAAGTTATTTCAACTGTTCAGATTTGTAAAGTTTATGTTTTATACCTTCAAAAAAATTCAATTTCATCTTTAAATGAAATGAGAGAAAAATCGGAGAACGTTATCTGTTTCTCTAGAATTTACTAAGACTTGAGACTAATGGCCTGGTGACTAATGTGGCTGGATCCCACATGGCTGAGCACAGGTTTGAATTCCAGGCTTAGTGGCTTGAGAAATATACCAAATGTGTGTGTGTGTGTGTGTATGTGTATGTGCCCAAAATCCCAAAAAGAAGGGATGAAGGAGCCACTTGTGGTATGACAAGCAGCTCCCCGGCGGGTCTTTTTCCTTTCCCTCTCTTTTTCTCCCCGGGAAAGGTAGAGCCCTTTGCAAATATAAAAAAAAAAAAAATAAAAAAAAAAAAAAAAAAAGGAATGAGTTTTGCAACTGAGTATGTGATTTCTTTTTCCCTTGGTGGCGGGAGGAGTTGTGAGCAAGGACCCTACAAGATGGACCCTTTCCGTCTATGCTAGTTCTTTTATGTCCAACATGTATGTGGGACATTTTCATATCTTTCATGACTCAATTAAAATTTTCAATTATTTTCTATCATTTAACTTTGTTCACACTTGCTACTTTTTCCTGACATGCCATCTTGGTTAAGCGATT